ACCAGAAACTTAGAGATCTGGGTGGCACAGAGCCAACCCACAGCCACAGTACACAGCGACTCTCTGTTCCCAGAGCAGGGTTTCCAGGAGTGACAGTGGACCGTGTCCCAAGCCTGCACGACCATTTCTGAGCTGCTGTCTCCCCCAGCATCCCCACCTCAGCGTTCTTGCCTGCATGATTCTACTTGTTTGAGCCACCCTTTCCAGCCCTGAACGGACCCCTGCAGAGCTTGCAGACTCCCTGCAGCCTGGCGCCCCTCCCTCCTGCACATGCCCTCTGCCGGCTCTGACACTGGCATCCTCCCGGCGGGGCCTTTCTCCTGCCCGGAGCTGCTCTTCTTTCTTTTCTTTCTTTCTTTCTTTCTTTCTTTCTTTCTTTCTTTCTTTCTTTCTTTCTTTCTTTCTTTCTTTCTTTCTTTTCTTCTTTCTTTCTTTCTTTTCTTTCTTTCTTTCTTTCTTTTCTTTCTTTCTTTTTCTTTCTTTCTTTCTTTCTCTTTCTTTTTCTTTCTTTCTTTCTTTTTCTTTCTTTCTTTCTTTCTCTTTCTTTCTTTCTTCTTTCTTTCTTTCTTTCTTTCTCTCTCTCTCTTTCTTCCTTCCTTCCTTCCTTCCTTCTTTCCTTCCTTCTTTCTTTCTTTCTTTTCTTTCTTTTCTTTCTTTCTTTCTTTTATTTTATTTTCTTTCTTTCTTTCTTTCCTTTCTTTCTTTCTTTTTTCTTTCTTTCCTTTCTTTTCTTTCTTTTCTTTCTTTCTTTTCTTTCTTTCTTCTTTCTTTTCTTTTCTTTCTTTCTTTTCTTTCTTTTCTTTCTTTCTTTCTTTTCTTTCTTTCTTTCTTTCTTTTATTTTATTTTCTTTCTTTCTTTCCTTTCTTTCTTTCTTTTTTCTTTCTTTCCTTTCTTTTCTTTCTTTTCTTTCTTTCTTTCTTTTCTTTCTTTCTTTCTTTCTTCTTTCTTTCTTTCTTTTCTTTCTTTCTTTTCTTTCTTTCTTTCTTTTCTTTCTTTCTTTCTTTCCTTTCTCTCTTTCTTTCTTTTCTTTCTTTCTTTCTTTTCTTTCTTTCTTTCTTTCTTCTTTCTTTCCTTCCTTTCTTTCCTTTCTTTCCTTTCTTTCTTTCTTTCTTTCCTTCTTTCTTTCTTTCATTTTTTAAAGATTTTATTTATTTATTTGAGACAGAGAGAATGAGAGACAGAGAGCATGAGAGGGAAGAGGGTCAGAGGGAGAAGCAGACTCCCTGCCAAGCAGGGAGCCCGATGTGGGACTCGATCCCGGGACTCCAGGATTATGACCTGAGCCGAAGGCAGTCGCTTAACCAACTGAGCCACCCAGGTGCCCCCGGGCTGCTCTTCTATCTCCTTTCCTGCTTCCTCATCCTCCAATGATCTTGATATTCAAAGTCCTCAAGGCTCTATCTCTTCTGGTCATTCTGTTCTCTCCTTCTGGGTGGTCTGATTCACTCCTGGGGTTCCAAAGACATCTCTAGACCAAAAATCTCTTTTCAGACAGACCTAGCCTCTCCTCTGGGCCCCAGACACAGGCACCAGCTTCCTGCTCATTCACAGGCATCTTTAGATTCTTCCTCCTAAGTGACTCTCAAATTATCCCTCCGCACCAGCCCCTTGCCTACACACAATCCAAGCCGCCACCACCCTCACCCCCACTGTGAAGTCCAACGTCAACTCCTAGCTGCTCTCCCTGCCCTGTCTCCTAAACCCACAATTCCTTCTCTATTCAGAAGCCAAAGCACTCTTGACAAAATGCAAACCTGCTCATGTGCCCACATCCACTGCCTTCTGTGGCACCCCGGAATAAAATCAAACACCTCTGCCATGCCTCCTGAGGTTCTGCCCAGCCCAGCCTTATCTCTGGGCGCTGCCCCCAGTGTCCCCTCGATTTTCTTGCTCCAGAACTGGCCTTCTCCCTTCCTTGAATGCACCAAATGTTTTCCTGCCTTTGCATATGCTGATCCCTCCGCCCAGCTAGTGGATGCTGCTGATGCCCCGCCCAGCTCACCTGTCCCCGGGACATGCCACCTCCTGCAGGTGTCAATGTTGCCTGCTGAGGGCCCACTGCCACCATCTTCTTCAGAGGATTGCCCTGCATAGACTAGAGTGGCTCTGTGGGGGTCAGGAAAACCACTGCGCTGACCTCTCCACCTGACCCCGGCTACCAAAGCCCGGCCCCTCTCCTCCAGTGAACTGTTCTGCAGAGCCCTTCCCGCCCCACACCCACCTCCCTGCACCTCCGTGTGATTGAGCTAGGCAGAGGCCCCAGCCTCCCTCGGCTTCTGCCCTGCCCTACCCTGCGACTCGCACTCCCTTCCTGCTGTTTCCTATTGCCCCAAACAGACTCCCATCAACAGATTGCCCCACCAGCTTCTAGGCACCCAACCTAAGATGCATCCCCGGGTGGCTTCCTCAGTGGGGAGCCCTGAACCCCTAGGCTGTGTCAGAGTCTTATCATAACAGCATAATGTATCACCACTCTGTTGTGTTCCTTCCTAACACTTAGTACAACCATGGTTAAATACAGCTGATTCTTGAACCACTCTGGAATTAGGGGTGCTGACTCCCCATGCAGTCAAAAACCTGCGTACAACTTTTGGGTCCCCCCAAAACATAACTACTAATGGCCTGCCATTGATGAGAAGCCTTAGCAATAACATAAACCACTGATTAGCACATATTTATAGGTGTATTTATATGTGTGCACCAGAACAAAGTAAGTTAGAAGAAGGAACGTTACTGAGAAAATCATAGTGAAGAGAAAATACTTTTACAGTACTACCCTGTATGGAAAAAAACTGCACATAGTGGATCTGTGGACTCAAACCCAAGTTGCTTAAGGGTCAACTACATGTGTGTGTGCAATCACCCGTTAAGTGCATGACTGTGAATTTCATGCGGACAGGACCAGGTCTATTTTGCCTTCACTGTGTTCCAGCCCTTGGCACCATGGTAGGCAGTCAAGAAAATAGGATGAAGAGAGGCAGGGGGGCAGGGAGGGAGGAAGGTGCTCGTGCTGTGTCTTTCCCATTTGATCAGGGGTTCCAAGTTTCTCCCCGTCCAAGGGGCGTCTGGGTGGCTCATTCGTTAAGCATCTGCCTTCAGCTTAGGTCACGATCCCAGGGTCCTGGGATCGAGCCCTGCATCGGGCTCCCTGCTCGGCGGGGAGCCTGCTTCTCCCTCTCCCACTGCCCCTGCTTGTGTTCCCTCTCTCGCTGTGTCTCTGTCAAATAAATAAAATCTTTAAAAAAAAAAAAAAGTTTCTCCCCGTCCTGGCAGAATCTGAGTCCAAATAACTTTTGCGGTTGTCAGCAATGGGCACCATCGCTTGGACTCACTGCCCTCCCACAACCAGCTCCGAGGCCACGAGGGGAGGGGAGCACAAGCTCCCCACATGGACGGCTGCCATCCGCGGCCTGCCTTTTGTTCACTCAGAGGCAGACAGCTGGGGAAGCAGCACCTGTGATCGTGAGCAGCCCTGCGAGCTGCCCTGTTGACAGCCTGTCACAGGGAATCACCTCAGGCCACTGCACCCCCAAAGAGCTGCCCAGTGAGCCAGCCTCGCCCCCTCAGGGCCCTCCGCACCCATTAATGGGCTGGTGCCAGCCTGGCCGCCTGCCCGTACAGCCCAGCTGGGCCACCTGCTGCAGCTGTGGGGGCCTGGGCTTGGGGAAATGCCTCCTCTCTCCCCTTCCCCCCAGGACGGAGGGCAGGGCGCCCCCCAGAGTATCCAAGAGAAACAGCTCCTCCCGCCCCCCACCCCCTTTCTGGTCTTCCACACTCAGGAAGGCCTTCATTGTGCCAGAAGCCTTTTCACCCCTCACTGGCCCTGATCCTCATGCCAACCACACAGGCGCCCAGGGCTGGTTCTGCCCATTCCCCAGAGAAGGCTGAGATCCACACAAAGGAAGACGAGAGAAGTAAGGAGCACGTGGACAACTGGCCCTGGGAGTTCCTCGCCTGGCCTACAGCGGCATGAGGGGGCTTTGAGGAATACAGCTGTTGGGGGGGGTCTCAGAGGCCCCTGATACTCGGGGCTTTCAGCCTGACAGGATCATGGCATCGGTTCCCAGTAAGCCGCTTTCTTCTGTCAGGCCTGTGAAGAGTCTCCTCTGGAGGTCCCAGAACTGCCTAACCAAGAGAGGCCACACTCTACTCCAGGGTCAGGCGTCCAGGACATCATCTGTGTCCCAGAGCTCCCTCTCCATAGGGGCACCAAGTTCCAAAGGCCCGGCTGGGGTGGGAGCCTGGCACACCTCAGAGCAAGGGGGCTGCTAAGGGCCTGGCCTGCCACGGCCTCACACTCACTGGGCAACAAGTCCTCTGCAGACAGGCCTGGCCCCGAGACAGCTGAGCAGAGGCCATTTCCTGGGAACGCCACCCCCCCCAGTGGCCAGCCTTCCTCACTGCCTCTCTCCTCTTCCTCCTCCTCAGACTCCCTGGGAGGCCACCAGTCACCTCCTGTCCCCAGCCAAAAGACCCTCAGGGAAGAAAGTGGGAGGGAATCATCATCATAAAACAGCATAATTATTCACTCATTCATCAGACAAATAGTTCTTGAGGGTCTGCGCTGAGCCCGGCTCTGTGGTAGGTACACAGGATACAACTGTGAGTGATGTGGGCCCCATTCCTGTCCTCAGGGAGCTGGGAGTCCTGAGGGGGAGACAGTTGACTAACATGCACACAGACATGTGGCGGATATGGAACATGACGTTGGTGGCCACGTGGGTCATGAAGAGAAGCTGAGCCACGTGGGGTGAGGAGTCAGGAGGTGCTGCTGTGGGTCACTGGTCCAGAAGCTTCTCTGAGGCAGTCACCTGGGCGACCAGGACGCCACAAGGGCAGGATCCGGGCCAAGAGCTGAGAGGAGAGTGCTCCAGGCACAGGGAAGAGCAGAGGCTGAGATCCTGAAGCAGAAGCGGGCTTGTGAGGCAGAAGCAAGTGGACTGCTGGACTGACAGCCTCAGTTCTTGCCAGTTGCTGGCTGGAGGACAGTGTGGCCGGCCTCAGGGATGAGGGAAGGACACGGGGCTGGAGAGATAATGGGGGCCAGATCGGGCCTGACAGCCAAGGTAAGGATTCAGCTTTGACTCTGAGTGAGATGAGGAGCCATGAAACACTTTTGATCAGGGAAATGACATTACCTCGAGTATGTTTTTAAAGGATCGCAAAATACTTAAAAATTAATATTAGCAGCTAGCATTTATTAAGCACTCCAGTCTTACACTTGGCATTTTGACCACATTATCTTCTTTCATCCTTACAACCACCCTATGAAGTGATAGACCTGATTCTCTTGTCCTTGTTCCAAGACTGACAACTGAGGTTCAGAGGGGTGAAGCGATGTGCCCAAGGTCACACAGCTGCCAACTGTGAGCTCAAGGTGAGCCAGTCTGTCCCTCTCCAGAGCTGTAGGGTTACTCTGGTCCAGGGGTTGGGAGGACTGGCTTCCAATTCTGACTCCCACCCTCTGGCTGTTGTGGTTCCTGTCTGGTCCTGACATTGCCACAGCTCCAGCCTCCATGACAGGGACATAACCCATCCTCCTCTGGGGGCTGCAGGGAGGACACTGAGCCAGGGTCCAGCCAGCGGTGCATGCATGGCAGATGGTCATCAGGTGTTAGTGCTCTAACACTCATCCCCAGAGCTTTGGGGGCTGTGTTCTAGGGACCTGGTGAAACACATCAGGTCAGTCCACCTTGGAAAGAGGAGGCACCCATTCTGCGACGACAAGGGAAGTGGCAGAGGCCCCCAGATTTAGGCAGGGGCTGGGTGGAACTGAGCAAGGTACAGAGTCAGCCTCGTCCTCTCCCAAGAGACTGTCGTCTTCCTCTTCAGCCAGTAAGGATGCACGAGAGAGAGAAGACCTCATCGCCTTATGGGAAACAACTAGCTCCTGCCAAGAGGCATCCCCTCACAGCCCAGGTCAGAAACAACCCCCTGCCCAGGGGTCACAAAACCCGCAGCTCTACCAGGACAGTGGTCTTCCCTCACGTGCAGCAGTCGTCTGTCATTGCCCAGGTTCTCTTTGTTCAGTTAGCCTCCTGGGACCCCAGAAATCCATAAACAGCAAATGACAACTATTTTCATGCTTTGACTTATCTTCTGATCCTCTGGGTGCACAAACATCCATTCCTACCTGTTTATATGAGCATACGAATCCTCTTGTGGAATTTGTTTCCATCTGATGCTATTCCAAACATGTAGGAAGAAACCTCGGAGGTTCCTGGCCCTCTTTTCGAAGAGCCGTGTGGCCTACTGGTCAGAATGTAGGGTTGGGAGGTAGGCAGACATGGATTCAGATCCCAGACAGGCAAGCTGTGTGAACTTGGAAAAGCCATTTGACTTCTTCAGGCCCCAGTTTCCTCCACCTGTGGGGCAGAGACAAGAGTGTTCCTCTCACCAAGCCAGGAAAAGGTAAAAGAGGATAGGTAGTATGTACAACACTCCAGCCAAGTACCCTGCACAGACAATGGTTCATTTGCTGTCACCTTAGTCCTTACTGAGATATGCAGCAGGCTCAGAAACTTCCCTGTTTGAGATAATACTTGTAATATGCTATATTTATGGCTGTGTAACAAATTCCCCTAAAATGTAATGGTTTAAGTGAACACACATTTTATTATCTCACAGTTTCTGTGGGTTAGGAGTGTCACCACAGCTTACCTGGGTCTTCTGCTTCAGGGTCCCTTAAACCCTGCTGTCAAGGTGTGAGGCAAGGTTGAGGTCTCATCCGAATGCTCCACCGAGGAAGAATTCACTTGGAAGCTCAGGTGGCTGTTGGCAGGGTCAATGGCTCAGGGGCTACTGGACTGACAGCCTCAGTTCTTGCCGGTTGCTGGCTGGAGGCTGCCCTCAATTTCTTGAATGTGAACCTCTCCAATATAGCACCCTGCTTCCTCGAAGCATGTGAGCCAAGAAGGCAATGCAGTTGGCTAGCAAGACAGAAGTCACCGTCTTAAGTACCTGAATCACAGAAGTGACATCTCATCACCCTTGCCATATCCTACTGGCTAGAAACAAGTCCCCAGGTCCTTCCACACTCAGTTGGAGAGCATAAATACCAAGAGGCAGGAGTCTCCAGGGATCACTTTAGAGTCTACACTACACAGCAAAGTACTGTTCAGCTACCATTTTCTGGTGCCTTTTATGTACCAGGCTCTGTCCTGGAGCCGGGAATTTTAAAAGTGGATAAGTCAGGGATTCTATCTCCCAGGAACTTCTGTGAGGTGTTTTCTGCTTCAGGCTCTTAATCATTTTTCACTGCTGCGAACACTTTGGGACCTGTGTAGTATCTCTGTTGAGGGCAGGAGGGCAACTACTCACTCCATAATGTGAATGAGTTAACTAGACCCTTTTCCTCCATCCCAGGCTGGTCAGAGAAAAGACACACCACACACACACACACACACACACACACAGAGTGAGCTAGCTCTGGAGGGCATTTGCAGAGAGTAGTGGTCACTGTGCTGCTATGGGAATGAAGGGAATGAGACCAGCCCCTTCTCTGGGGAAGCACACCAGGTGATGGGAAGCAAAGAGGTAAACTCAGATCACAGCGGAGGCCAGACCCACAAGAGAGAGTTGACATCGCAGTCCCCCTTAAAGAAAAAGATTATAGCCAATGACTGAGAAGCTGAGCCAAGCTTTGCCCTATACTTAGTGGGCAATGGTGGCTTGATCTCAAAGCAACTGGAGTTTTCTTCCCCAACACAACACCTCTTCCCCCACTCTGACTCCACCTCGTGGATGCCAGAGAGGCTTGTTACAGGGAGGCAACAACTTCTAGCCTTCATGAAAAAGCAGCTCCTTTTGTTGGAGAAACCTTATCTTCCCTGGCTAACCACGAGGGTCTGATGGGGCCTGGTCGTCACAGACTCTAACTTCTCTTGGCCATGGGGGTGGACTTGGTACCCAAGCTGGATCAATCTCCCATTCCCCGGTCCATAAAATATATGACCCAATCCAAGCTAATCAGCCCTTCTCTGGCATTTTTTCCTAGGTGAAGCTGACAGGGAAGAGACTATTGTCCCAGTTAATCAGGAAGCAGCTATGGTAACCATGTTTTCAGCCATATAGGGGGGAAAAAAAGAAAAGATGGAGCCAAATGTACACAGAGACAAAACAAAAAAAAGAGAGAGAGAGAGATACCAGCCAGCATCACATCTCTGGTTCCCATCTTCAAGCTTGACTTGAAAATCTTCTTATTTTGGGATGCCTGGGTGGCTCAGTCTGTTAAGCAGTTGCCTTCAGCTCAGGTCATGATCTCAGGGTCCTGGGATCGAGTCCCGCATCGGGCTTCCTGCTCAGTGGGGAGCCTGCTTCTCCCTCTCCCTCTTCTTGTGCTCTCTCTGTCAAATAAAGAAAATATTTTTTAAAAAAGAAAGAAAGAAAATCTTCTCATTTAGAATCTTTTTATTTTTCTTGAAATAATTCAAATTGGGTTTCTGTCACACTCCAACCACAGGGTCCTGAACTACAAGTCTACAATTTTATGGTTGGAATTCAAGCTAAAGCTCCAAATCTTCCTGGGAGATGTGATCCAGAGGTCCAAATTCTTACTAAAGTATAAATGACTAAGATCCTTTCTTGAGAGAAGGCTGTGATTATGGGCTTATTTGAAAATACACAGGGCTTTATAAGGTTAAAAGTAGAGACAGTCAATGGGCGCCTGGGTGGCTCAGTTGGTTAAGCGACTGCCTTCGGCTCAGGTCATGATCCTGGAGTCCCTGGATCAAGTCCTGCATCGGGCTCCCTGCTCGGCAGGGAGCCTGCTTCTGCCTCTGACCCTCCCCCCTTCTCATGTGCTCTCTCTCTCTCATTCTCTCTGTCTCAAATAAATAAATAAATAAAATCTTTAAAAAAAAATTTAAAAAGTAGAGACAGTCAAGACATCTTCACCATATTCACATGTAAAAAGAGCTCATGATTCAAATTCAGAAAACCTGCATTTGAGTCCAGGCTCTACCACTAACTGGCAACTTACTTCTCTGGGCCTCAATTTCTCCACCTGCAAAATGGGAGTAAGAATGTTTCTGTGCCTGGGTGTTATATGAAAACAATGAATCGTGGATCACTACATCAAAAACTAATGATGTATCGTATGGTGACTAATATAACATAATTAAATTACATTACATTTTAAAAAAAAGAATGTTTCTGTTCTTCCTAGCTTAGGAAGTTGTCATGTGGAAAAATATCAACATTATATTGTTTCCCTGTAGCCAACATCCCTGGATGTGTTATATTAAATACATCTTAACACTATATTTGGGTAAATGCCAATGAACAGGAATGTAAATAACATCTCTCCAGTAGGGCTCAGCACCTGAGGATAAGAGTGGATGAGAAAAGCTTAAAACAGCATCAAGGAGTAGATGTCCATCTAAGAGCAATGGTGTTAGTCTGGACTCTCAGTTGGTATAGCTCTCATAGATACATTTTAATCATTTCTTTTCAAGTTAATTTCTAAATTGTATCTCTCTTTTCATTTTTTTTTTTTAATTAACATTGGGGCACCTGGGTGTCTCAGTCAGTTAAGCATCTGCTCTTGATTTCAGCTCAGATCATGATCTCAGGGCCCTGAGATGGAGCCCCAATTTGGGCTCTGCACTGAGCATGGAGCCTGCTTAAGATTCTCCCTCTCCCTCTGCCCCTGTTCCTACTCTCTAAATAAATAAGTAGATAAACAAAAGCTTTTAAAAATTTAACATGCACATGAAAAAAAATTTCAAACAAGAGAGAAGCATAAAACTAAAACAATCCGCTTCAGCTCTCTACTGCAGCCTTTTCATCCAGATGTCAACATTTATTTCCATATATGGATCTTACCAAATAGCAGTCGGTTTCATATTTTTTGATGTTGATTTAGTTACAGTTTAGTTACAGTTTTACATGTCAGCACATAAGGGTTTTTTGTTTTATTTTGTTTTTAAGATTAGAATCCTTCTAGTTACCAATGTGCGGGATTTGCTGGATCTGGCATCCAGTACAGGGTTCAAAAAATAATGTCAAAGGGAAGACAGAAACAAGGGGAAGGGGGATATAAACGAGGAGTCAGGGGAGGGGGAAGGATGATGGAAAGAAAAAGAAGAGTGGTAGGAAGAGGGAGGGAAGAGAGAAAGAGAGGAAAGGAAGAGAGGAGAGAAAGAAAGAGAGAGAGGAGGGAGGAAGGAAGGAAGGGAGGGAGGAAAGAGAAAGGAAGAGAGGAAGGGAGGGAGGGAGAGACGGAAAGACTGGCAGACAGACAGAAACAGGAAGAGAGAGGGAGGGAGAGACAGACAGAAACAGAGAGACAGACAATGAGACAGAGACAGAAAGAGAGGAAGGGAAGGAGAGACAGAGACAGAGCGGGAGGGAAGGAGAGCCGGACAGACAATCAGACCAACAGAGAGAGAGAAAAGGAAAGAAAGGAAGGAGGGAAGGGAGGAAGAGAGTGGAGAAGAGGGAAAGAAAGAGAAAAAGGAGAGCAAGGGAGAGAGAGAGGAGAGAGAAGAGAGGCAAGAGAGATTCTGAGCAGTGGACCCCGCCCCCGGCCCGGACTCCGCCCCCGGCCCGCGGCCTGCAGCGCCCCCTCCAGCCGCCAGGGGCCGCCACGGGCAGCCGGCCTCACCCTGCGCGCGCGGCGGGCCCTCTCTCCCGCCTCCGCGCCGGCCGCTCGCTGCCCCGCCGCCGCTCTCGGGCTACGGCCGGGTCTCGCGCGCCGTCTTCTCGTGAGGGGCCTCGCGCCGCCCGGCGCACGCCGCCCCCCTGCCTCGCGGCGCGGGGTCTCGCGGGCCCCGCTCCCGCCCTCCGCTTGCCTGGCCCGGACCGGAAGCGGCGCCGCACGGCCTGGGCCTGGCGCGGGGGGCGGGCACCGGGGCCCGGTCGGATATGGGCAAGAAGCACAAGAAGCACAAGTCGGACAAACACCTCTACGAGGGTGAGGAGTGGGCTGCGGTGGGGGGCGGCGAGCCCGCGGCGGCTCTGGGCTGGGGTGGGGCTGGGGTGGGGAGGGAGGAGGGCCTCGCTCCTTCGAGACCGCCCTGGAGCTCCCGAGGAGGGCCGGGGGCCGCACCTCCCACGGGCAGGCCGGGACCCGCGAAGGGGGCGCGGCCCGCCGGGGCCGCATTCGAACCCCAGGCCGCTGGCCCCCGGCGGGGCTCTTGCCGGGAGGTTTGAGACGGCCCCCAGAGGCCCGCCGCGTTCGGGGCACCCTCCGGGCGGGTGTCCGTCAGTCAACAGGTGCTTCGCGGGGCGCCCACTGCGTGCCCAAAGCCGCCGCGGCCGTGGCGCCGCCTTCTCCCGCCGGCCACGCTGCCTCTGCATTGTGGGCGCTGCCCGGCGCGTCCCCCGCGTAATCGAGGCTCTTTCCTTTTGTTTAAGAGTATGTAGAGAAGCCCTTGAAGCTGGTCCTCAAAGTGGGAGGGAACGAAGTCACCGAGCTCTCCACGGGCAGCTCGGGGCACGACTCAAGCCTCTTCGAAGACAAAAACGATCATGACAAACACAAGGACAGAAAGCGGAAAAAGCGAAAGAAAGGAGAGAAGCAGGTTCCAGGGGAAGAAAAGGGGAGAAAACGGAGACGAGTAAAGGTAAATGTCGTTGCGTGGCTTCCGCGTTGCGGGTCGCACCACTTTCGAGAGTTCCCGCCGCCCGCTGCCGGCCTAACTCTATTCTCTTTGTGTCTAGCGAGACGCTAAAACGCCTGTAAAATCCGCCTTGTTTTGAGGAGGAGCAGGGCAGCACAGAAACAGGAATCATCTGTGAGTTTCAGCAGCTCTCGATTGTAATTATACCCTTAGTTAAACTCACAGCAAGTGAGCGAGCAGCTAAGTCCTGACTTTCAGGAGCTGTGTCAGAGTACTTTCTCCACCCAGGAAAGGTAAAAGTCATGCTCAGAAAAGCCTCCGTGTTGGAGCTTTGTCAAAAATCGTCAGTTCAGAAGTGATAGGGATCTGTTGGGGTTCAGATTTTGTTCTGACGTAGATGAATACTGTAATGCCAGATATATAATGAGCAGCTTTGATCTTAAAGCTTGAGTCTGTTGAAGAGAAAATTCGATCAGAGACCTTTAAGGGATATGACACCAGTGATAAAAATAAGCATTGTCTTAACCGTTTGCAGTTAATAGGAAAAAGGGGGGAAAGTAGCTGCTGTCTTGGTTCACAGGCTGGCCAGAATAATAATTAACTTTGATGGATGATCGTATACATATCTGGAATTGTCCTAGACTTCTGCACCAGATTTAACCTGTCACTGAGTGACTTACTAAATCAATTACGGGGTCTTGAAAATAGATTTCCATAAGTTCGCTTTGTAATTTTTCTTACATTTATATATAACAGCAGTGTTCTGTTCCATGGGATTAAACACGCCGTAAGTCACTAAAGCTTACAGACTCTTTAGAGTTTCTTAAATCTGTTATTTTTTGCCTCAGTTTTTAATTGCCTTTGGCTAGACTGTGACAATATATAGAACTACTTAATGTTTTCTTTTCCTAAGTTATAAAAGCCACTCTATGCATACGATTTAAGAAATTCAAGCAATACAGACGTGAACAAAAGGAGGGCAATAAATTTTCCTCACCCTAGTCCCTCACACAGTCTCTCTGTCTAGAGGTAACCAGTTTTTTGGGGTTTTTTAAATTATTTTTATTTGTAAAGTAGTTTAATGAACATCGTTTTTAAAAGTCAAGACCACTTCAAGGCTTTTAACACAAAAGCAGTCTCCTGCCCCATCCTAGAGTTTTACTTCCCAAACTTTCTGGTTTTTTCTTTGGATATTTGTCTCCTTTTTTAGTAGGTTTATGTTGGTATTTCCTGATTTATAAGTTTACATCTTTTACTGGTCTGTTAAAGAAGATGAGAATTTAAATTAGTGTTCTAATGCTGCTTCCTGCCCCCAATTTCCCTTCATCCATTCTCCCAGTATAGATACATCACAGGTGTTGGTTAAATCAGTATTCACTGTTCAATTACTGTTCACTGGTGGCAAGTATAATAAATACAGATTTGGTCTTGATCCCTTGTTATTTGCTTTCATTGGTTTGATTATCATGTACCAGTTCTTCCCAAACTCTGACAGATTTATAAAACCCATTTGATTTCTGTTTTTCACATGGCCAAACAGTTCCCCTTTTCTTGAGACATCCATCTTGTAGCCGTCCGTGCCCTCCTGCTCTAGTCTGTATTAGTTGTTCTCTAGGCCTTCTGGGACCCTCCTTTGCCTCTTTCCTGGATCCTGTGTCTTCTTGATTTACTCCCTTTTTCTGGTGGAATCTTAACTCTAGGAACTTTTCTAAAAAAGCATTCATAGGAGGTAGTTTTCATAAGTCCTTATGAGATTGAACATCTTTATTCTACCCTCATACAGTCCACTCCTGTAGATTGATGGTTTCACTCAGTGTGGAATTCTGGACTGAAAATTACTGTCTCCTAGTATTTTGAAAGCATCTTCTCTCATTGTCCTTGTTTTAATAGCACCCTGTTCTTGTTTTTCTCTGAGGATATTAGTTGATGGGCTTTTTGCTTTTTTTTTTCCCCCCGTTTTCTTTTGCTCCCTGCTTTGTCTCTATTTCCGCTCGAGTTCTTCCGTTTATTTTCTTGGTCTCCTCTTTGTACATTAACAGCATCCCTTAGTTATCTGTTGAGCCTTTCTCGTCTGAATTTCAATGTGCAGCACAAAAGCCCAATGAAATACTTTGTGTCTAGACAGTTTGTCAGCTGTAGAGTCACTATACAGAGACCTGATCATTTTGGTGGAACCCCCAAATGTCTGTTCTCCAGAGAAAAATCCCTCCTGGAACAAGTTTACCTGACTGCTGGTATTTCGGGGGCCAACAGGGGTAGGAGACTGAAGGTCCTCCCACCCACTGCTCTGCTTTCAGTCCAGCATCTCTCCCCACTCCTGACTGGTATGCAGTCTGGAGACTCTGTGGTTCCTGGTGGCTCCAGGTTTGAGCTTTTCCAGGTTTCCGGGGTGTGAACTCTTCTCCTAGGTGTCCACTTCTGGATGGAGGCGGTAGCTTGCTGTCTGTGATCTGCACACGCCTCCACTTCCCTCTCATCTCCCAGGTGTGTGGGCGGCTTTCATCTCTGTCATCTCTTCTGTACTTTGTTCATCTCATTTAACTGGGAGTTGAGGTCACCCCTTTTAACCACTTCTGATTTTAGTCCTGGCACCATAATGCCAGCTGATATGCTTGTGCTCTTCATTTCTTTTATCACTTTCCTCATTCTTTTTATTAACTACATAGTATTTGGTTATATTGATGTACCATATTTTTATTTTATGCAATATTACGTCTAAATGTTACAAATAAAGCTGCAGCGAGTCTCGTGGACACAAATCTCTGTATACTTATATAAGGATATCTTCAAGATAAGTTCCTAGAATTCTCCCCCTCCGTTCCAGCCACTCTCATCTTTCTTGATTGTGGCTCTAAATGTCATTAGACTTCATTATATTTTGATTCCATTGTAAATTAAGATGCTTTTGCATTCATAGTCTTACTTGGACAGAACACCCTGCAGAATAGGACAGGTAGGTTAGTTTCCATTTTATAAAAGGTAAAATGGAAACTCGGAGAAGTGAAGGGAATTTGTGCAAGGTCCCATTTCCCCAGGACTCAGGGCCAGGGACCAGGGGACATTCTCTGGGGTGTCATTGGTAGAGGCTGTTTGGGTTATCCCTTTTTTGCAGGCCAGACTGGGGATGGGGAGAGGGCATTCTTTTGCTAGTGTTGTCTAGGTAGGGAGGCTTCAGAAGGACACCCCACTGTGAACTATGTTCTGGATCTCCAGGGAGTTTTAGGAACAGCAATTGCCTCGGGTCTCTTCTTGGGGAGAATCAGCTGCGTGACATCCTTGGGCCTGGGAGTGGCTGGGGGATGTGTGGTTCTACGGGACGGGTGATGCTTCTGTCAGTTCCATGTGGCAGGAAGGAAGAAGGATGCAGGGAAAAGATAAAGCATGCCCGCCCTTTCCCTTTTAAAGCATTTTTCTGAAAGGCGTTTGTAGCTTCTGCGTATATTTCATTACCCAGAACTTACTTAACCACATGGCCATACTAGCTGCTAGGGAGGCTGGGAAATGTCTTTTAGTTGGGGAAGGGGGTGGAGGCCTCGTACCCTAATAAAAATCAAGGATCTGTTACTTGCGGAAGATAAAGTTTTAGGGAAGCACACACACATGCAACGTAAGACCCTGTAATTTTTCAAAAGTGTTTGAGTTAAGTGATACTCTTCTCTTGAGTAGGGAAGGCCTGGTTATATTACTTTAAAACGCCCAAATAGATACATTAGTATCTGTTTGTATTTCTCTATGCAGAGTGGTGGCATTTAATACCAACCAGAGCATTACGAGTCCTATATATATCCCTTTGTTTTAATCAGGCCATAATTTAGACACCATCCCTATGAAAGTGTATTGGCTTTTTTTTTTTTTCCCTGAGCATTTGAATGCTGAGTGATTGGCAAAGAATTTGTGCACTGGCATAATTCTTATTATGTATAACATCACCCTTTCCTAAAGATCCAGCTTTACATTTTCAAGTTATTTCCACATCACATAACAAAATAGCAGCTGATAAAAAATGCTCACATCATTTGGTCTAATAATATAGGCACAAGAGGACAGTGAAGTAAAACTGAGGGGCAATAAGTAAAATTCTGTGTTGGCCATTACACTGATAACGTGGTGATTTATAAAAACTACAGAAGTGTTTACAAAATCATTTTAAGTGAAATAACAACTATACGCGCGCGTGCGCACACACACACACACAATTACTAAAAAACTACATAAACACTTTACATAGAACATATACATATTACATGCTGGGTTCTGCACTTACTGCTTTATGTATGTTATCTCCCCTTACTCTTTACCGTAATCCTATGAAGCCGGTATTACTATTTCTCTCTTTTTTTTAATTGTGGTAAAATACATGTAGCATAACCTTTACCATCTTAACTATTTTTAAGCGTCCAGTTCAGTAGTGTTGAGTATACTTACATTGTTGTACAATTTCCAGAACTTTTTCATGCCCATTAAACAACTCCCCATATCCCCCACCCTCCAGCTCCTGGTAACCACCATTCTGTTTTCTATCTCTGTGAGTTTGACTACTCTAGGTGTCTCATAGAAGTGGAATCACACAGCATTTCTCTTTTTGTGACTGGCTTGTTTTACTTAGTATACTCTCCTGGAGGTTCATCTATGTTGTGGCAGGTGTTAGAATTTCCCTCCTTTTTATGGCTGAGTAATAATTGGGTTGTATGAATATACCATGTTTTGTTTATCCATTCATCATCAGTAGACATTTGGTTTGCTTCTACCTCTTGGCTATTATAAATAATGCTGCTGTTAACATGAGTATAGAAGTATCTCTTCAAGAACCTGCTTTCAGTTCTTTTGGGTATATATCCAATAGTAGAAGTGCCAGATCATACTATTTTCTCTTTTACAGATGAGAAAACTAAGGCTCAGAGAGGTTAGTAACTTGCTCAAAGTCACACAGTCAGTGCCAGAACAAGAACTCCAATCCTACCCTCAAGAGGTCATTAACAAAAGAGTTGTTAGAGTGGACACTG